TAGGGAAAAAATCATTTTGTCACAAAATTCCATTAAGTGGCATAGAAAAAAGGGCAAGTACCTAGCTATTACTGTCTTAGTATTTTTTTTTTAATTTGCCACTGACAGAATTTACCATAAAAGGTTTATGGGTATATTGTCATCTGAAAGCATTGAAAAAACAGGCACGTAAATACTAACGTTTTGAAATCAGAATATACTCAGTAGAAAGTACCTTTTACTGAAACAGGCAACAAGAACTAGTGTTTCTGTTAATACAATTGTAATTGCAATAAATATTGGAGTTATATAAAACCTGTGTAACCAGGTTTTCAGTCTCTTTTGTTTATAATTTTTAGGATAACTGTGATAAATCACTTCATCTTTCTGATTGGATCTCATCTTTCTTTGCTGGTATCAGCTTAGTTGTCATCTATGCAAAATTCAGAATCTAGACCCAGGGCTGTTAACCTGTGAGTTCGGGGCTATTTCCTAAGAAAGGTCCATAATAAAAAACAAGAAAATTACCCAGAGTAGGATCCATTTCCAGTCCACTCCAGCACTCTGATTCAGTAAACCTGTAGAAGTGAAATCAATAATGGAAAGCTATTGGCAAAAAAATGGAAAAGGTACCTCAATTACTGTTTTTGTTAGTAACAGATGATGATACATAGTGACAAAATACTATGGTGATATAAAACTTTTATATTTTGTATTTATATATTACCTGCCTGTACATATAATTAATGTCCATAAAGCTATGCTTTATTTCTCATCTTTCTTTTACTAAGATCGTTTAAATAAACCTCACAACAGCGCTTATCAAGTACACATTATTCCCATTGTATGGATGGATAAACGGAGGCAGAGAAATAACATGATTTAAGAGTAAAATGATACAAGTAAATTAGTGACATCAAGTACAAGTGAAGTAAATACAAGTAAATTAGTGACATAGTGACAAACAGTATCCAACTGTCTTAATTTCCAATGTGCTGCTCTAACCACTGGGCAACAACATTTGTTTATACATTTCTTTTGTAAAAACACAGGGCTTACTTTGATGTTATCAGAGCAGGATTGAAAAGGTAAGAAGCCAAACCTAATGAATAAAGATAATAACTCTGGATATCATCTTACAGTTCCTTAATACACTTGGACTTGACTGACAATATCACTAAGACCTCTTTACAGTTCTTTGGCAGCAAGATAATACAGTCCCTTGACTACTTGGGGTACCTGAACCCTAGAAATAGTGGCCAGGAAAAGCTGTCTTCTAGAGAGAAGGAACGTGCGTGGCTGAACATTTTTGACAAAACTGAGTAACACTGAGCTGTTTCAGTTCAGCACTGTTGTGGGATTTCACAGCAGCTTAGTACTGTTGTAGGTTTGAGTTGAACCTCAATGAGACTGATAAGTTTAACCTATGTCCTTTATTTAAGATAGCTCTAATAGTTAAGTGTATGCATCCACTCAAAACAAAACCTCTTCAGGAATTTACAACCTCTGGGTGAAGGGCTTTGGTTAAGTATTGTTCTCAGAAGTGTGTGCATGTGTGCACGCACATATGTAGGTGAGAAAACAAACATGACAGAGAAACTGAGGCCAGAAAGCCTGAAACGAGACTTTCCAAGTTTATGCTTGTAATGAGGATGGCAGAAACAAAAGCTACCCCAACAGGAAGAGCTTTATTCAGCTGCTTCTCTCTGGCCCCAGTCCCCAGAGCCCTGCTGCTAATGTGGCCAACATGAGCAAGGTACTCAAAAGCATGGATCAGTGCAACCCCAAGAATCTGGTCATTTAGGTGGAGACCCCAGCAAGGAAGAAAGCATACAGCCTGAAGGCCAAGCTGGTTGTGCTCAAACTGTATCAGATCAGTCCTGCTTTTTTCCTAAACCAGTCATAGCTTACATCACGGGTGAACAAAATACAGCCCAGGGGCCAGATCTGGCCCACCAGGCCATTCTATCTGGCCCGCAGAAGCCCTAAAAAAATTAGAAAATTAATATTTATTTGATCCTGGCTGTCTGTCAAAGATGACAGGAGCTAGGGGCAGTAGTACTCAGGGGAAGCCAGTGGCAGGACCCAGCAGCAAGGCCCGCCCAGCCCCAGCCCCCCAACCAGAAGACCCTACCTAGCAGAGGCTTCTGGCCTGGGACCATGGGGCTGTTCCTGCTTCCCTGCACCGCAGAGGGAAATGTGGCCCTTGACAGCTTGCCAAAACTCAGTAAGTGGCCCTCCACCCGAAATAATTGCCCGCCTCTGGCTTACATCCTGCTCAAAGTCTTGTTCAGCCTTCCATGCATGAACTTCATCCTCTGCAAATGTCTGATCAATCTGGTTATCAAGAAGGGGGGCCAATCCTCTATCTGGAGAAGTTATTGGAGACCAGCCACTTCAGGCCTTCTGGCAAGCCTTTGGGACTCCGTATGGCATCAGATTTGAATGCTTCACAGTAGGATATTAATCTACCATGCTGGGAATGATCACATATTAACCAAATGGACAACAACACCTTTCAGACAACAATGTGGACCAGAAAACAAGACTGAGCAGAAACCCCCTGGGGCAAAATCTTAATTTGCAATCAGGACAATATCCAACTCCAAAACGTAATAAAGATGAATTTCCATAGTATCTTTGGTAGTTTAAGAGTGATGTTGTAGTGGTGATGGTCCAGAAATTATGCAAGAAGCAAGGATTTCTTAGGATGATATCTTTTATCTAACTATAGAGCTGAGACAATGTGAGGCAAGCTTTTGAATGTAAGACGTTCTTCTTTGGGTCTCACAGAGTCTCCAGCATCAGGTTGTGACCTGCTTGTTGCTCTCATGAAAAACCTGCTGTATTCTTTTAAATATCACTATACCTTGGAAGCAGGAGTGATTTTGGAGAGAAAACCTTGTGTGACCCTGGGGTAAGCCCAGCAAGTGGGGGTTTGGGACAGGGCGCTGGCTGAAAGAGCTGTGGGGTCATAAGGAAGCGAACAGTCTCTGCTCACCAGCTTGCTCCGGTGTTCAAGAAAACAGAACTTTGTATGTCCCTGGAAAGAGACAGGATTGCAGCAAAGATACGCCTTGGGTGCAGCCCCACTTGTTCCTCCACACAGGAATTTTTTTTTAATTCAAATTTTCTATATTCCAAGTCAAATTAGCCAAAACAAATTCCAAATCTGAGTCAGTCCAGAACCACAAGTGGCCCTACTACAGGCAAACATCCTCCACCCCCATCTGGGGCTTCAGATGTTTCCAAAACCTTTGGTGGGCATCCTACTTGCAGGCCCAAGCCTGGAGGTTTGGATGCCCCCCAGTTTTGCTTGCTCCCAGCTGTATGGCCCCAAGGAGCAAGCTAGGGAGGAGTCTCCCATTTCCATAAAGTGGGCATAAAGCCCAGGTTAACTATGCATTACCTATTCGCATTAGTGATGCATAGGGGGTGCATGCGGGTGCACATGCACCCTGAGATTGATGCATGGCCACCTACAGGAGCTCCCCGCTTGGCCTGCCCCCACTGCTGACACTGCTGCGGCTGCCCACTTGCCGCCGCCATGCCCCTGCCGCCGACACTGCCCCCTGAGGGCAGTTGCCATATCCCACCAGCCTCCAGATGCAGGCAGCATTTATGCCTATGCGGGGACTATCCCATAGCTGGGGGCTCACGTTGCGCCCTGGCACATGGCAGGCCTGCCCCGGGCACGCTCCCACCAGTGCCCAGCTCTGGGAGCGCCCCTCAGGGGTTGTCCCGAACAGCAGCGATCCCCGGCGAGCCTCCCGGGGCCGTGACCCAGCACCCCCTGC